CACACACACACACACACACACACTCTCACACACACTCTCTCACACCCCCACCCACCCAGACATTAGAGGAACCAGGCTCCCCGGAAGGCCAGATGCAGTTGGCCAGCAACAGCAAGACCTCCAACGCCCCTGACCCCCGGGGGCCATGCTGTGCATGAGTGGACCAGAGGACAGCAGACCCAAAACCAGACCCAAACACGACCACAGTCACTTCAGTCATGTATGCACACACACACACACACACACACTCACACACACTCTCACACACACTCTCTCACACCCACACCCACGCACACAGAAGATATATGAATGAATACCAAGAAAGTAAAATAAATAGGAATAATAATAATGATGAAATTAAAATATTTAAAAAAGGGGCGGGGGGGGTTGGCGGGCACCTTCAGGGTCAGTAATGCCCACAGACCCGGGACCGGCAGAGGCACCCCTGGGACCCCCAGGAGCCCGGCAGCTCCCAGGCAGCACGGGCCCAAGGAGACCCCCCTGTCCTTCCAGGTCCCTGATGGGTGTGGGTTGAGGACAACTCTGTTTCTGATGGGCAGATGTCCTCCATGTCTACTAAGCATTTAAAACAGCGGGGTGGGCGGCCTTGCAAAGTCCCAGAGCGAGGTCCCTCAAGCAGTCCCCACCACCTGAGGGACCCCGCTCACCCGACCCCACTCAGCACACCCACGCCCCTTGGGCCTAATGTGTGTATGTGTGTGGGTAAATGGGTAGTAGTGTCTATGATGGCGCTTCCCAAAATTAATTACTTCTTCTCAATGATCCCCATAAGACCATCTGCTACTTGTTTTAAATCGCTAGATTCATGTATTTCCAAGTTTTTGTGGAAAGGAAAACCTCCACGAATCAGTTTATAAACTCTCCAAAATACCAGAGACAGTGGTGGATTAGATCTACCTAACTTTCATCACCATTTCCTAGCCAATAGGCTTACTTATATACTAAAATGGCAAAAATCCAAACCCCAAGATGAACCATGGCTGAATGTTGAACATACACTTTGTGAAAATCTGGAAATCATTGATCTACCATTTAATGTAAAGCACCATAAATGCTTCAAAAGTATTAATGTCAGCACTTCTCTGACAGCCTGGTGGGAATTTCTGAAAATCACAAAGTCCTCCCTCTTACCGTGCAAGTGTACACCCATCTGGAACAATCCTGACATCCTCCAAAACAAAAAAATGCTAAATTTTACTCAATGGAAGAACAAGGGAATAAGACAACTAGAACATATTATTCAAAATGGACACTTCATCCCATTTGATGTGCTCCTATCACTTTATGGTCTTAGCAGCAATACAACAACTTAAGTCCATAATAACCAAGAAGTATGTCCTCCACCAACTGAATTTGGAACTCCTGACGAAGGTAGCAGAATACTTAAACATCTGCTCCCCAAAAACTCTGTCAAAAACATATAAGTTATTATCAAAGACTGACAACACTATCTCGGGCTCTCGGGTCTTGGTGCTGCCTCTCCGTCCCGGGGGATTTCCCGCTCCCTTTGTCTGGGGGTGCTGGGTTGCCCTGGGCATGCCTTGACGGGCGGGTTGGTGAGTGCCCCCCGGTGGCCCTCTGGCTCCTTGGGGGCCCTCTGATGTGTCCGGGTCGCTGGTGGTGGGGCTCGTGGGGCGGTCTTCTTCTCTGGCGCTGGGGGCCGTGTGGGCTGGCCTGGGGGATGGCGGACCCAGGGCCAGGCCGTTGCGAATGAGGTGGCTGCACGGTGTGTGTGTGTGCTTAGTAGACATTGAGGACCTCTGCCCATCAGGAAAACAGAGTTGTCCTCAACCCACACCCATCAGGGACCGGAGATTCGGGGGGGGGGGTCTCCGTGCGACCCTGCTGCCTGGGAGCTGCCTGGCTCCTGGGGGTCCCGGGGGTGCTTCTGCCGGTCCCGGGTTTACAGCCGGGGGGCAACAATACTGACCCTGGAGGCGCAGTGATGTGCAGTGAAAGTGTATTTGCTGTTGCAGCTATTTGTCCACATTTCGGATCTGCTGTGTAACACTGATTCTGATTTACCAATGTAGTCAGATCCACTTTGGATTCACTTATTCTGGTGACTCCATAATGAATACATTCTGGATCCCAGTCCCAACAAACCCTCTGTCACTACTCGTGTTTAACCTTTTAAAAATCAAACTGAAAAAAATATATATATATTTTGTATTTAGCATGATGAATGCTATGTGTTTTGAAGAACACTGAAAGAAATGTTGGCCTGTCTTAGGACATGACCACAACAATTTCACGGTAATATCATCAGGATAACCTGGACTGGGCATAAGGTGGAAAGTGATTGACTATTTTTGGAAGTCAACTCCACCAGAGTTGTAAAAAGGCGGTCTGAATGAATTTTTGGTGAAAGATGGCTGAGTCAGCATGGCTACAGGGTGAAAAGGTCTGCGCTTACGGGGACAAAGGCGGCGTCTCCTGCAACTGCCCCAGCAGAAGGGGTGAGACAAAAGGGTGAGAAATTAAACTAGAGAGCAAGGGGAGGTGGACTGGAGCGAGGAGGAAAAGTATGTGTGAGACGGCATTTTCTTGGCCGAGCTCCCAGCTCCGCACATTCTTGCAAGATAGATTGAAGCCGTTTCTGTTTTTGTTATTTCACTCTGAGAATTACTTCCAGATTATAGAGAAAAAAATGTTCATCCGCTTCCCTTGGACTCAGCCTATGCGATTATGCATCAAGTGACAACCAAGACAAACACCTGGTATTATTCCACATCCCTCACACTCTCAATCTATGTTCTTTCTATTTCACAAACTCTACAGAAATAAATCGGTCATGATAATTACAACGACAAAGAAACATTTATTAAATCTTTTTTCCTTCTTTTGTTTCTTTTAGTTCAGTCATAGCTGCTCCAACACGTGTATTTACAGACATGGCCTTTTTGTAGAAAAGTCTAGTGAGAGACTGAACAGGAAAATGACATTAGAATATCGTTGTTAAGTAACAGGGAGAATAGAACTCATATAGCACATGACACAGTCACTACAATGTTAAAAAAATTGTGCAGTTTTGTGGCATTTCCTTGTTGGGGATGGGGGTAGTAGTTGTTAAAGCAACAAAGATTCCCACCGCTAGATGCACAAAAAAAAAGACAATCAGGTGATGAAGAAGTCCTCCAAACACAATATCCAACACAGTTTGTTGAACAGCACATGAAACATCATCATTTTGATATGAAAAACAAAATAATGCCACTGCAACTAACACACGATTAAACCAATAGAAGTCTCTGTCTCTGTGGTGGCTTGGAAACACTTTAATGTTATTAGTGCCACAAACAGAGAACTAAGATATAATGGATGCATAATCACAGTGGATGAAAGTTTCAAAGCAAAGATTTTCAGTATTGTCAACATCCATTGTTTTTTTTTTATTCCGACCTGTAGGTTCATGATTGTAACGAGACAGTGGTGCATGTTTGATATTTGCCCATGTTTACAGGCAGAGGGTGCAAAGCTGATCCTGTATTTTTCTCACGTAGAAAAGACATACAAAATTAACTGAAATATTTTTGTATCAAAGGTTTTTTTGACAGGAACTTTAATGGGTCAGCGGATTTTCCCTTCCAAAGAAATTTGGAAAAAAAATAAACGGAGAATATAAAATGGTTTGTTTTAACAGACTTACCACTGGATACATAGTATCCACAAAAATAACTGATTGTTTTTTTGTTTAATTTGGTGAGGCTGCAAGGTGATCCATTTTTTTATGATTGGATTTTTAAATGGTCAGTGTAAAAACTAAACTTTAACTCTAGTTTGTCAATTTAATGTTGTTAAATAAAAAGCATGATCCTGTCATTGCCTCTCAACTTCACAGTTATGGCATTAATTTATTATCTCAAAGTTTCACATAGAATTACAATGAATGCAAAGTTTGTCACTTGAGGGAAATTGTTAAAAAGTTAGCTTGAACTACTTTCCATTTGTTTCACTTTAGAATTTTTATCAGGGTATATCTACTGTAAATATCTTTTATTGTATTTTTCCGAACAGTGGCCCTAATACTCCATAGTTTAGTTTATGTAAGCAGGGTAGGGTATCAGTGCACCCTTGCTTCTTTTGATTATTTCAGTACATCTTCCTCAATCATATCCCTCTTTGACTGTATAAGGTTCAGTTTGCCTACTCCTGGTCTCTTGGTGGTCAGTTTTTTACTCGAGATTTTTTAATTTTTTTATTTTTTAAATCAAGGTGGCTCCCTCTAGCATATTTACTGTTTGAACACTACTTTACCTAGCATCAAAATAGGATATGTGGCACACATCTCCTCCACCTGCTTTCTAATTTTATCACAATACTGATAAATTCCTATCTCCACTTAGATGCTTTTTGATATTCCCTAAAAAAAGACAAAAAAAGTCACATTTTAAAATGTAATCATGGTCTCATCCCTGAACTTTGTAGGAAATGTGCTTGTATTTACAATAGCTTTGTATATAGTGATTCACAAAAACTATAGTGACATTTAAACTACATTTGTAATATGTGTTAATGACAAAGTGAAAAACACAAACACACTATTTCTACACCCTGATGCACATCAGACCATTTTTTCTATCTTGGACTGTCATAAACAATCAAAAGCCATCATCTGTGAAAATTCCAAAACAGACACAAAAAATGTGTTTTATTATGAGTTTGTGTATCAAATGAACTGTGTATACTATGAAGTAAGCTGTATTTGCTTTTATTGCCTTTCTACTTCACTGACAGACTAAACCAGAAGAGAAAAAAACACAAAGACTTTACAATAAATAGGAAAATACATTACCTGGAGAAAAACCATACAGACTTCTATGCCTCATTCAAATATTCACCTGTACACCCGTGTTGGCGACTACAATTGAATTATGTGATTGATTTAGAAAAAAACAACAATACATTAATTGATGATTAAATCCCTCCTATTCCTAACACTAAAGATTAGTGCTTCTTTAAATCTTTTTTCCCCTCTCTATAAGGGTCCGACATGGTCTGTGAAGATCCAACCTTTTTATCCTGAGAAGAAGGTTAAGTTGACATGGCCCACCCTGTAGCCCCATGGTCTTAGCAGCAGTCTCCTAGCAACATCATGCTTGCTTTTCGCCACCCTGTTTGTGACATGTGGCTCTCACATCTTTCGCGCTGAAGTGAGATTCAGTGGCTTTTCAAGTCGTGACCATTTCCAAAAGCGCACACACGCACCAAAATCAATTTACATCTGTAAATGTGTGCTTCTAAACTGTTCAAGTTAAGAAATGAATTGATTGTGTAGGTGAGAGTATGCTTCTAAAATATGTTTGTGTGCTTGTGTTCAATACAGGTAAACAGTGCAACATCTGCATCCTCTGAACGGAAGCAAATAAAAATTGACGCTTCCACATCAGGACCATCAGCGCTCACCCAAAAAATTCAAGAAATCACACTAGTTTGTGTTTTCTAAAAAGTCAATAAACAAAAAAGGCTTCTTGGCTGAAGTCCCCTGTTCTCCCCTTTCACCATGAGAGATAATCAGCGTTTTTTTTTTTTTTTAAAGTGCTGCTTTTGAGGGGAGGTGTTGCAGGATAGAGCGGCTTGTGGTCCAATCAGGGCTGTCCATCGCAATAGAAATTTCTGTGACTGGGCGCTATAAAGCCAAGATGGCAGCCAGGAACATGAGAGCTGTGGTGAGCAAGAATACTGGAAACTGGTGCTGACCAACAGAGTTCACATCCCTTCTTGCTGGTTCTGGTGACTCGTGACTGATGCCATCTGACAGGAGAGGGAGGACAATAATCATTAAAGGAACAAAATTTGGAATACAACAGACAGTAAAAATATCAGCTTGGGTTCATTGAGCCGATTACATGTTAGGGTCTAACCAACAGCGATGGTTATTTATCATCATTGGCAGATTAGTTTAAACAGACGCAGATATTTCATTACGAATCCTAAACAACGTATGAGCCTGTGTGTTGGTGCTGGTAAATGAATATATTTAGGAATAATCTCCATTATCATTTGATTTTGAACACGTAAACATTATGAACCACATATTCACACTGACCTCTGGGTTCAAGGGAGTTGTGGCTGTTCTCATCAAAGTCTACTCCTTCCTGCACATGTCCTGAGTTTTTCAGACAATTGTCTTTGGGGGGAAAAAAAGGGGAGATTGCAAGATTAGACCAGTGAAACATCTCGGGTCTGCAACCCCATCACAAACTGGTGAGACGCACAAGACACACAACGATAGGAGACTCACTTTGGGGCCTGACAAAGATTTTGAGTCGAAGGCAGCTCCTCCTCCCTTTGATGTCAGTAATAGAGGCTGTGGATGTATGACAAAGGGTGGGATGAGAACACATGCAACACATTACCTTCAATTTTACACATCAAAATATCTCCTGTGGTCTCAACTAAAGCTGAGCTATGTTGGGAAATTCCATTACAAATTGAAATATCAGTTTAAATGTTAGCAACAATGCTGAACTTGAACTTTCTTACTTGACAAAAGACATGATGTAATGATCAAACAATCAACAACATGTGTTTTGATTGTTTCAACCACACTGGAATAAGTACCAAACAGTTTCAGGATCATTTATTGGCACTGAATCCATTGCTGTTAGTTACACTTTTTTCCAAACTGTAGTTTCAGTTATGGACAAGCCTAGTTGGTATTTAAAAGAGTCAAAGTGCTCAAATTTTCTACAAAATTGGTCTCATCTTAACATCTTTCAGGATTTTTGAGAACTAGACTTTATACAAAATAAACAAACAAGGGGAAGAAGTACTTAGAAGTACTCATACATAAAAATGAATTTTACGAAAGTTATCATGTTTGGAGAAAGAGAAAAAGCAGCAGACTTAGACTTAGACTCAACTTTAATTATCCCTTGGGATTATGATTATTCCTTCAGAGAAATTCTGGTTCCAGTTGTTCATATAGAGTACAAAGGGAAGAGTTAAAGCAAGATGCCATTAAAGATAAAAAAAAACAGACAGCAGTAGTGGATATATACTGTATGTATATATATATATACTGTATAGTCTTCCCTCAAAAATGTGCATTTGCTTGACAAATGCTATCCACCTTTGCTCAACAATATTGTCAAAACAAGAGAAACAACAATATGAGGACTGTTTTTGTCAATAGAGGTTGTTCGCTCTTATTTCCCTCCGTATTGAGAAATAAATGTTTGATCTCACAGTTCATGATGTTCGGATGGAAATTAGTTTCTGACATGTTTTATCCAAAAGTCCAAGGGCACTTTTACCTGCAGATGTGTGGTTCACTGACATACTCACCTAAAAATCTTCTCCTGCATTTCCTGGTTGTGAAAGGCAGAGATTAAAAATGTATTTTTTCATAAATTCTAAAGGAGTGCTGAGAATATTTAGCTATGACTAATGACTTGAACCTTTCGTTATTTTTTACATGTTGTCTAGCCTTATTTTCATCTGACAGTTGTCCTCTCTATTTCTTACTTTGATTCTTTGTCATTTCATGCAGCCCATCAAGTGTCTCAATCTGCTCTTGATCTGAAGGCCCAAACACTCACCCACATAAGTGGAAATATTTGCAAGGGTACGCTGTATGTATGATGTGGTTTGTGTCTCCATGCACTCTCTATAGCCAGTCAATTCTTCATAAATTGTGCCAATGTATCCAATTTTGCAAATAACTTGAGCCATTATTTGAAAAGAAACTTTACCAGATGCCATGCGCTAATATCCTAAAACAAAAAATCAAATAATCAAAAATTCTCAGCAGACGTGGATCCAGGTCCATAGCTTGGAAAGTAATCGATCTTTACACGACTTTTGTGGGGTGTGGGGGTTGCTATAGCTTATGGGGGGGGAGTCTCTGGTGGTCTTTTGGGTGGATGCCTTGCAGGGTCTGTTGTGGTGATCTTCTTGGGATCTGTACGCCCTAGGATGGCTGCTGGTGGACTGGGTCTTAGTGTGCTCTCTGCATTCTTCAGAGTGCTGGAGGATGGGTTGCGACCAGTGACCCCCTTTGTATGCATAACTGAGCAGTTTTTCTTTTTTTCCAAGTCTTCCCTGTGTCTGTTTGCAGGTGCTCCTAATGGTTCTCTGCCTGGAGACCACAGGAGACCTGTCTCTCTGCAGACAACAGGATGGTTTCTGTTTTTTAACCGATATAGTAGCTGGCTGTATGGTTTTGTTGCCTTTCTTTTTTTCTCTCTCTCTCTCTCTGCGTGTCACTGAGCATGAGTGAACGGAGTCACCAACGGTGTCTGAGTGAGTGAGGAGCGATTGTTGTTTCTTTATTCTATCTTTCTATCTTTGTTGTTCTATGTAACGTTGTTTGTTTGTTTAGTGTGTGTTTATCCGACCTTCTGTTGCTGGTTTCTGAACGGGTGGACTATAGTCGATTTTGTTGGTTTACCTGGGCCTTCGTTTCCACTTGCGGAAACATGAATGGCCCAGGTAGCGATATGGACAATCTTAAGTTTCTCACGCGTGAGCACGCCATTAAGGTGCCCACAAGAGCAAACATGAAGAAGTGTAGTTTAGCAGTTGGTGGTCTTATCGGTCAAGAAAATGTTTTGTCAGCTTCTTGCATGAACAATGCGGTGGTTTTGTTTTTACGATCAGAGGATATGGCCCATTATTTGATTGAGCAGGGAATTGTCATTGATGATAACTTTATCACTGTTCTTCCTTTGTAATCCCCAGCTAAAAAAGTAATCTTGTCAAACATGCCCCCGTTTATCTCGGATGAGATATTGATAGAAAGTCTTGCCAGGTATGGCACGTTGGTATCACCTATAAAAAAAATTGCAATCGCTACCACCTCGCCACTATTGAAACATGTCGTGTCTTTTCGGCGTTCTGTGTATATGCTTCTCAAAGAAAATTAAATTGATATGACATTGAATGTAAAAAGTGGCAGATTCAATTATACAATTTTTGTTACATCAAAATCCATTAAATGTTTTGGATGTGGCCAGGTTGGACATCTACTACGAGCACAAATCAGTCAGTTGAAAGTAGCGCAAGCAATCCTACCCAAGATAGTGAAATAGTTTTCTTTTTATATAATGCCTGATATTCATGTTGCATCTTTAAATTTGAATGGGGCGAGACAAAGTTTGAAAAGGGCAGAATTAGCTGAAGTAATGATACGAAAACATTTTGATATTATGCTTTTACAAGAAACACACAGTGATGTTTTGAATGCTGCTGATTGCCAAAATATTTTTACCCAACTGCACTCCTGTCTCTTATGAGGTAGAAGACATTATTAAGGGCAGACTCCTTAAAGTCAGAGCACAATTAAGAACATAACTGGTATGTGTTTATATGCATCTATGCACCAACAATGGCCTGTCGATAGAATGGTGTTTTTAGATTTGCTGGGTAACGCTTTAAAGGAATGCGATCCTAATGAATTTCTCCTTATTGGTGGTGATTTTAATTGTACTGAGCATAGCTGGGACAGAAACCATATAAGTGCCTCACATGCCTTCAAGAAAGCTACTCACTGAGCTAATATATATATTACCTCTGTGATATGAGGAATTTTCATAAGAATCAAAAAGAATACACATGGGCCCATTCCTATGATAATTCTTTGTCTCTGGCCAAACTTGAAAGGTTCTATGGTTTTAAGCACTACCTTAGTGACTACAAAAGTTGTTCTATTTTCCCGGTAGGGTTTTCTGATCACTCTGTGGTTTTGTGTACGTTATCTATAAATTCATTTAAGCCCAAAAGTGCTTTCTGGCATTTTAATACTGCCCTGCTGGAAGATAACCATTTTAAAGAAATATTTTCCTACTTTTGGCTTAATTTTAAAATGGAAAACGAACTCTTTTGTTCCTTACAGCAGTGTAAACAGCGTTATATGACACGTTTCTCACTACTGGGATTATTAATGCAGCGGAGAAACAGGAACCATATACACCACCAACGTCGATTTAAATGGAAACACAATGAAATCTCTGGCATCAATTGCCTTAACAATCAACCTGTCTCATTATCTTCATGCATAACTTATTGACAACAGAAGCTAATAAATTAAATCCCTTAAGGTCGGCTAGAAAAAACTGCTTGATAATTGATGTCTTAGTTGTGTTTGAAACATTTTTGAACAAGTTGTTGTTTTGATTTGGTTTTCTGATGGGATAGAAACTTTGTAATATCTTGTGATTTTCTAGTATTTCTCGTTCTTGGGGTTCTTTTCTTGCTGACATTTTACCCTACTTTGTTTCTTTCATCTCACCTCCCTCATGCCACCATTCCTTTACAGGTTTTCAAAAACACACTCAATGATCCAACTGTCTCTCTTCTTGTCTCATGCCTACAACTGAGGTCAGAGTCTGGGATTTTTATCCTTGAGTAACACGTCTGTGCTTCACCGACACGATAACTCCAGCGATCCCTGCAACTTTAGACCACAGAATTAGACTGTGGTGCAACTGTGAGACAGGTTTGGTGGATCCACATGCAAAATACAGGGGATTTATTTTTTGAGGATTCAATTAGAGAGCAACGTTCTTTGCCTTTACCTCAGCTTTGAGAGGCTAAAAGTGAACTCTGTGAGCACTGTATTACTGGGATTCGTGTCATTATTGATGTAGATCTCTGCTGTTTGACCCCGGCGTTTGAAGCAAAAGCGCTGTGCAGGGAGACAGTCATCTCTCTCACATGGAGAGAGCCAGACCCTCAACTGTCTCCTCTGAAAATTGGGTTTCTATCCCTAGAGATTAGGATCAGACTTTCCCTTCTCCACACTGGCTCTATTTGAAAAACATGAAGAGAAACTCATAGCACAGACCTTTTTTGTCATCTTTGTGACCTTTGACCATCTGGAACCAGTCGTATAACCAATTCCCTGCCATGGCAGCTTTCCCTTAAGTGTCTGGCTGTCTGCCAAACGGACTAACATCCAACTGCAGGTGTCATCCATTTGACATGGACCTACCTCCTCTTCGCTAACCCTCAGGGAAATGACAATCACTTCAGTGGACAACAAAGAAGTATCTGTCTTTAATGAGACCCGCAAAGAAGAATCTGTTGAAGCGCCCACGGTGGCTGAACTGCCACAGTGGAGTTGAAAACTTTTAAGGAATATTTAATTTTCATTTGTGATGCAATTATTCTATAATTCAAATAGACTGGACATTTTTCAACTCAAAGACATAAGAGATTTCAATGGAATAAATGTCCATGTTAGAAAACTAGTTAGTATCTAACCTGTTAGAAGAGTAGTTAGAAAGCTGGTTAGTTTTGTAACCTGTTAGATAGTAAAAAATGTTGTTCAGAATGGACCTTGAGAAAATAATTGTACTGTGGCTGCCCTCACTTGTGTGCATCATTTTAGCATCTTTAAGCTAGCAGTTTGGTTTTGTTTAACTTTTTCCCCCCTTTTGTCTCCACTACATCAACATTTCTACGTAATGTCATCAAACTCATTTTGAGCAGCATACAACCTTCCTAAGAAACTCAATGTGCTTTAACTGAGAGAGGTAGTAACAAATGACACAATACACTATAAATGAGCTGACCGTTGTGGAGGCCAACAATCTGTGGTCTAAGCACAACTATCATATAATTCTATTATTTCTCTAAACAATGCAGTGTTTTTGTTGTTTTTTTTGGTCATAGCTAGTTTCCAAGCTTGAGGCTCTCAGTTTTCCAACTGAAACCAGTAGCTTATGTGATTAGCTTATATAAAGATGGTAATCAAAACTAGAAATGAAATAATTAAAGTTAGAAACAACACAAACTTCTAGATATTATTAAACTTCCCAACATGTATTTGTTTATGTTAAGGAAGGGGCTGTAATGGACTTATCATCTTTGACTACAGAAGCACATTAATATTTTAGATTCTTGGAGGAATCTTTTATCAATTGTTATTTCGTTCTTTCATTCTGATCTGTCCACACAAAAAAGGGGGGAAAAAACAAGGTTCTTGTAAATGAGTCATCCATGTGACTCAGTAAAAGTTAACTGATATGGCCTGAAACTGCTCAAAGGCATGTCCCTAAAATATGTTTTAATTTGGACGGTCATCACCAAAGTCTATAAAAACCTGGCCTTTGCACAGCTCAAAGCCAAATAAACAAACGAGGCTAAAAGACATAGGTTACAACTTTTCTTATTGCTTTCCACAGCAGAGCATTAATATCAACAATTCCCTGGTATAGATGTCAGTAAACCACAATTTTCCTAAACAATGCATTCACATTTCATGTTAAGGAGTTGAGCAAACTGCCCAACAGACAAAGAGCTCCAGCAGAAACAATGCATTCACATTTCATGTTAAGCAGTTGAGCAAACTGCCCAACAGACAAAAAGCTCCAGCAGAAACATAGACCGGTTGTTCATACATCACAATAAGAAAAAACTGACATTGTAAGTCTCATAAATCAAAATGTTTTCAGGGATGACATCACTGTTCAAATGATGCGAGAAGATAATTGACCGTGAATTTTCAAGACTGGTCAGACGACCCAGTACCTTCCATATTTCCACTCTTTATTACTTTGTTCTTGCATGACCTCAGGTGTCAGCAATATACTTCAAATCTGCCACTGTATCTTACTACTTCCTGCTCTTCTGCCCTCAGGGCTTCTACTTACATAATTAAAACTTAACTTGCCACTGGTGTTTTTTTTCCAGACAAGACCTCACCAGTTCAATTTTCCTCCCCCTGGCTTGTGTTTTAATTTGGAATTTCTAAATAAACTCTGGACACAGAGTTTGAGCACATGAGCACTCAGAACGTGTGGTCTGCAAAGGTGCTATAGCTAGCTTTCTCGGCATATTTCCTTTATAAAAGAAGCCACAGTTTTTAAATAATTTATGCTGAAACCAGAAATTAAGCCAAATTTCTGATTCTGATTCTGAAATTAGGAATGGTCTAAGAAAAAACAGATGTTGAAAACTAACCCATTTGTATGATAAAAGATGCTGAGAAATCAGTGCATACTCACAGATATAATAATACTCTCTGCCAGGACGGAACTCAAAGCCTAGGGAGAAAGGAGTGAAGAGCTGAAACTTCTCAGAGAACTTCAGTGGCCCGTTGGGAGACAGAGGCCTGTTGCACTCCCAACGTTTAAACCCCTTGGCGGTGTGGTCACAGGAACTGTAGCCGTCGTAGTTCACCATGTAGAGGACGTAACGCTCGGCCCGGTCATCAGAGATTGGGCTGATGTAGTGTGGACAGTAAACATCCAGGTAGTCATTGATGCAGACATCAATGTGGTAATCGCCCCGGTAAAATCTAAAGGGGAAAACAGACGGTTGAAAATATGATTACAGAGTATTTGTGTTTGCCAGTAATGTGTTTCTTAAAGAGCTGGGAATACTCCAGATAGAGACAAGATGCACTAAGAATCAGAACGAAGCCTCAGCTGAAGAGAGAGTTTTTATGTGTGTTTTGGAAAGTGAGAGCAAACTGTGAGGGATGCATCCATTTGCTCCGGTCTCATTTAAAAAAACATGTCAGATTCAGTCATCCTGACTCCCCTGTGAGACTCAACTGAGTCTCCCTCCAACCACCTTTACACCCCGATATACAGGGATTGGACAATGAAACTGAAACACCTGGTTTTGGACCACAATACTTCATTAGTATGATGTAGGGCCTCCTTTTGCGGCCAATACAGCGTCAATTCGTCTTGGGAATGACATAGTCAAGTCCTGCACAGTGGTCAGAGGGATTTTAACCCATTCTTCTTGCAGGGTAGTGGCCAGGTCACGACGTGATGCTGGTGGAGGAAAATGTTTCCTGACTATCTCCTCCAAAACACCCCAAAGTGGCTCAATAATATTTAGATCTGGTGACTGTGCAGGCCATGGGAGATGTTCAACTTCACTTTCATGTTCATCAAACCAATCTTTCACCAGTCTTGCTGTGTGTATTGGTGCATTGTCATCCTGATACACGACTCCTCCTTCAGGATACAATGTTTGAACCATTGGATGCACATGGTCCTCCAAAATGGTTCGGTAGTGCTTGGCAGTGACGCGCCCATCTAGCACAAGTATGAGGCCAAGGGAATGCCATGATATGGCAGCCCAAACCATCCCTGATCCACAGTCTGGGTGGTACGCTTCTTTGGGGCTTCTCCACACCGTAACTCTCCCGGATGTGGGGAAAACAGTAAAGGCGGACTCAGCAGAGAACAATACATGTTTCACATTGTCCGCATCCCAAGATTTGCGCTCTTTGCACCATTGAAACCGATGTTTGGCACGAGTGACCAAAGGTTTGGCTATAGCAGCCCGGCCGTGTATATTGACCCTGTGGAGCTCCCGACGGACAGTTTTGGTGGAAACAGGAGAGTTGAGTTGCACATTTGATTTTGCTGTGATTTGGGCAGCCGTGGTTTTATGTTTTTTGGATACAATCCGGATTAGCACCCGAACATCCCTTTCAGACAGCTTCCTCTTGCGTCCACCGTTATGCCTGTTGGATGTGGTTCGTCCTTCTTGGTGGTATGCTGACATTACCCTGGATACCGTGGCTCTTGATACATCACAAAGACTTGCTGTCTTGGTCACAGATGCGCCAGCAAGACGTGCACCAACAATTTGTCCACTTTGGAACTCTGATATGTCACCCATAATGTTGTGTGCATTGCAATATTTTGAGCAAAACTGTGCTCTTACCCTGCTAATTGGACCTTCACAGTCTGCTCTTATTGGTTCAATGTGCAATTAATGAAGAATGGCTACCAGGCTGGTCCAATTTAGCCATGAAACCTCCCACACTAAAATGAGAGGTGTTTCAGTTTCATTGTCCAACCCCTGTACTCTCTCATGATGAATGCTAGACAGTCCAAACACATAGTCCAAATTCTGACTGGTGCTCAGAATTAAAGTCCCTCTGGGTTACAGGGCTAATACACCGATAAAAATGTGGCTTTAGCAGCTTTAAGAGAATCCCACCATAAAAAATGTCATTAGATTTTCATTAGACGAATATGACGGCTTGATGTAAGAAGTTTTCTTGCCTGTTGTTTACTGAAACTGGGAAATAAATGCGGCTCTGATAGGAATTAACTTCTGAGGAGAGATGTGAAAAACATTTTCCCCCTGCCGTGTATTTCTGAGGCGTGAAGAGGAGATAGATAAGGCGTGCACGGTCAGCTGCTCTTGTCTCTGGGGCTGCTAATGGCCCCTCCTACAGTATCACTGACATACTGCCGATGTCTTCAGTGCTTCACCTCAGTTCATTGACTGGGCCAGAGAGCATGCAGAGCATGCAGCAGACTGATGATCCAATACCAGTGGACTCACTGAAGCACTGCAGGGTTCTACAACCAAGGCTTCTCTGGGCCTCACTGGCCACAAATCAGTTGTCACTCTCACTGCCGCTGATCTCAAGCCAAATAAATCAAAGAGACAAAAGTTTAGACGCAGCTGTTGCTGCTAATGTAGACATTTCTGCAAGGTGTGGTTAACTAGTGGGGACCTGTCTGATCACCATGGCCTTCTGGGAGTATCAGATCATTGTTAATGTTAATGCTATAATGTTATTGGGTATCCAACGCAGTTTGCAAGAACCACAAACGAGCAGATGTGTGTGAGAGCTTGAAAACTGGTTTTGTGAGGATTGACTTGTGACAAAATCAGTCATATTCTAATCTTTCCCACCCCTATTTTCATATTCTGGTATAATGTGAAACCAGTTACCTCTCCTGACAGCACCAGCTGAGCACTTTGGCTCCAGACAGGCACAGCATGGTCTCCTTTTGCCTCAGTTTCTGAGTACCTTGCTGATATTATGACTACCAAGGGTCAGCTGGCATTATAGTATCAGCTCCTCAGTCAGCAGCACAGAGAAATCCCCTGCTTTGTCTTTCTGTCTTTATTGAGCAACAAATAGTGTCGACCTTGTAATGCCATTTGTTGTCAGTCATACCTGCCTCAGGAATAACAGCTAAAATGAGTCAAGATTAAGAACAGATTAAAAAAGAAAACATTTTTGTCAGAGAATGGTAGAAAAAGATGTTTGTGCCTGTCACAGTGACCCTGCTCAGTGAGGGTATTTGTGCTGGGATCAATCTATATTGTGTCTGGGGTTAGATTAACAAGCAATAACAACTGTCTCAAAATTCATCTCCACTGATTTATCGATTTGAAATCTACACTTAAAAGTGGTCACGTTTATCTGTTTGTCAATTTAAAAAAAACAAGGCTGTTCTCTCAGCTAGTTAAAAATATGTTTTTTTGCAAAGACAACTTCCTCCTAAACTCTTTTCCCAAGCTGGAGTAAAGCTACAAAACTCAGGAATCAGTGTTTAAAATCAGTACAGGGCTTAATACAAATGATCAGAACAGACGGAGAAAAGTCTCAATCCACTACCTCCTCACAGGTTTTGCTTGCACAAAGCCAAACTCTGGGAGCTTTTCAAAGGGCCTTTGAGAAATAATTTTGCTGCCTTTCTGTGTGTATTAAACCGTATTACCCCATATGCAGCATATTTTATACATACAGATTCTGAAATGTTTTGCATCCAAGACCTTTTGCATCATTTAACAGTGAAAACTTTGCTCAAAACCTTCTTGTATACAATCAGATATACCTTCTTACAGTGCGGCAGAAGACTTCAAGACAATGATTTTAACTTATCGCATGGTATGATGAATATTTAAAACTTATTTCCATTTTTTTCATATGTTATTAAATAGTAAAATGAAGACTTTAAAAAAAAATACAATACTTTAATGATGTGATATGTTTGTGTGTATGTTTGTAGAAGATGCATTAAGCACAAAATAAGGGCTACTGTTCTGAAACGTGTCTATACATAGATGTTCTGGCAAGCAAGTAGGGATTGATGATGTTTTTTTTTCATTTGAAATAATTTCATTTCTGAATTTTGTCCATATCGTCCACCCCTAACTCCATCTTCTACTCATCCTCTGTTTTTCTGCCTTGTCCCTTTTATGGTCCAACTGTGTGCTGCCTAACTGATTGAAAGCTCCAGACTTTCCAAACAATCAGCAAGGAAGCTGCAAGGATGGAGTTGTTTACAGCATGAGAAAACAGAATGCGTAGCAGGACTAGAAAATACTCCAACAGATGTGCCAGATGTTTGCTAGATGGAGGCTATAAGGAGTTGTCTGAGTGGCACCAGGGAAATGCTGAAATAGAACAGAGCCATTAACACAAACTGACTCAAAAAGTAAAGGAACAGATGACAGTGCAGTACTTTCGGGTGTTCCCTTTTAAACTAAAAAAAATCTTCTGCTATACTTGTACTCTCAATATCTGCCCTGAAACAGCTGTAGGATTGATTCAAGTATGGAATTGAAACACTAATACCCCAACAGGGCTCTGATTGCAGTTTTCAGCATTAGGTTTTCTTGCGTTCATTAAAAAAAAGATTAGTTTCTAAATGTTTTTGTTGTAGTTGGAGATTTAATGAATCATTAAAGCATTCACAGGGGAGATTGAGGGAAATTTCAACATGTGCCACCATCTTTACCAAGCAGCAGGAGGCAAAGAGAGCTGATTGAGAAGTTTTGGGTTTTGGTTGGAGGGGTTTGATATAATGATGTATAAGGATTACATAAAAGAGGATATAAAGAATTTATTATGATTTTTTTCCAGTTATGAATATATCCTAATGTGAAAGGATAAAAAAGAACCTTAATCTTAAATCTATTTTGTGTTCGGGATTAATTAGCCTTGATTAGATTCATTACTCAAAACCGATTTAATGGGCAAATAAAGGAATTTGGTATTAGCCAGCAGGTAATACCAAAAGTAGCCAGCCCGATTGGTATTATTCTGTCATGTGGGCTCAAACCGGATACTATATCCGAATATTTCTTCGTAGCCTTGCGTCGTGTTGCGTGCATATTCGGTGCTATAATATAATATCATTAAGTGTTTGCACTTCCTCTCACTTGGCCACGTCATGCCTCGAACGATGTCATAAAAATGATGATAGGTAAGATAACATGTATTTCAAATGGAAACTTACCAGAGTTTTAAAAAAGCATACGTCTCCGTGCGGGTCAAAAATAAATTTTAGAAAATAGAATATTTGTATTTTACTTCATTCTTCTGTCAATTTCTGAGTTGACCTAAGCTGCTGCATGCAGTAAGATTTTAGTTTTCTCCCTCGTAGGTGTCAAATTACCAATATCTTTCCAACAAATGTTGAGGGAAGTTTTTGGGAGAGCATAGAACCTCAAAGTGTTTTCAAATTCAAAACCTAAACCAAAAATAACTTCTTATTGGTATGCTGAAATGTGAAAAAAAGTTGAAAGCTCTTGTAGCGCAAAACATTCAGTTTCCTGAATTTAAGCTACAAAAGAATTGTTCAGAAAAAAAGAGGAAGGAGTGTTTTTGGTACTAAAGCTTGATCAAAAATAAGATAAAGATAAAGAAATAAACTTAAATGACAGCTATTAAATTTAAATAGAGCTAAAGATGAGAGTTTGTTCTGCTTGAACTTGCGAGGACGAGAGCTCACCGGCAATGGTCTGGAGTACACATAACCATATTTCTATATGTTTCAATTTGTGTAAATGAGCTAAATGTGAAGAAAGTAGCTAAATGTGGAAAATATATGTGTGAAAACTGTGAGCAGCTACTTTTTCATTTGCCATCACATAATTAAATCTTGTTTTCAACCTTAGAAACTACAGTTTTATAATAACTATAATATTATGTAATATATCAAATGGACATGATGATATAATATACATAACATATAGTGCATAGGCTGTGAATGTGTGCTGTATGAATCTCAATTTCCTCAAACTGGTTTTGAGGACCCAAAAATTTGCTCAGGACACAAAATGTAGCGAAAAAGAGGACGGAACACATATAAGTAGACAAAAAATAAAGTAGTTTAAAAAATGGAAGCAACCAAAGACCCAACAAAAGGATTGGATAGAAAAAATCTACACCAAGTCCTTAATTTTTTGTTGTTCCTGCCTCAGAGGGAAGCGGCTTAAAGGCATGAAAAGGGAGAAATCAAATGACAACTATGTGACGATGTCACCAGATGGGGTCTATCCACCCTGCCCTGAGGTTTTTCCATCACTCTCCCTCAACCTGTCCAATTATTCATAGCGCTAAACCACTGGAAGGTTGAAGCCATTGCTACTTAGCAGACTAATTACATACACACATATCCACGAACTCACAAGTGACAGATATAATGCATGTTGACAGCAGAGAGATAGGAAAAGTGGAGCCTGTAAACTAGACAGTTGTCTGCGGCTGCCCCCCCCTCCCCCCCAATGCTGGGAACAAAACCAGGTTAGGTGAATAATTGGCCTAAGATTAAAAACACATTGCTGCTTGTGGGAACTCACTTTAGACAGTTAAATCATAACTGAGGGTGGGGGGGGGGAGTAAGAGCTGGGATATGAGAGCTGTTTATAGATCGTGGTGGTCCCAACTGCAATTCTCTAACTTATCTTTCAGTGCAGCTGCAAAAGTTGATGCATAAACAGAGTGTTATGTAGGATGGTCTTGTAGCTTGCGTAGCTTGTGTAAATAGAAGATGGGGTAATTCATAAAAAAGGTCAATTTTACTGGTCCTTCAGCTTAACTACTTATGCTGACCTCTACAGAATGACGACTGTAGCGTTTGCAGTGAGCGTTATTTTTGCTAAAGGAAAGCCAATTAAAAATCCATGTAGCACAGATTCCTTTGCATTGAAAATAGATCCTAAAAAATAATTTTTTTGCCAAAAAAATGGCAAAAAATTAAGAATTAATATAAGATGCACTGAAAATGAGAATTTGTGAGTGGAAAAACCCGAGTTATAACTGTTTTTTCATGTAAGTTGACTTAGTTTTAACATACAAAGATACCTTTATGTTTCAAACTCACTACATCTGTTAAACTGGATTTAAACACCTAAGCAAATTTAACAGGTGTGTTGGCTCAACTCATGTGCTGTTGAGATAAATATGGAAAATTAATTACTTTAAAGGTATTAAAGCAACATTTAGAATCTGACGTCATTTGAATGCCTTGACCCTTTAAGATCAACACACAACTAACTGAAAGAAGTTATTCACTTCTTGTCACATATGGATGAGGCCGGTTAATTACTGCGGGTCTATTCGGGTGTCAAGGAGGTCAAAGCAGCAACAGCAGGATAAGGTTAGTGTCAGTCAACTCACATGTGAACACACAAAGCAGTACTCCATTATTCAGTCGGGTTTAAAACCCCAAGGGGTCTGAAAAAGCCACCCATAAACCCCCTCTCTTCGCTAAAGATGGTTGTTCGGGTTGTCATTACACCAGCTGACAAATACAAAATGTTCCGAACATACAACACTTGCTGTTTAACACCTGATGCACATGTATAGTACAGTGCAACCTTCCCAAACTTGCCTTTACGCGTCTTATTGGCACCCGCAGAAAAATATGCTGCTACAATTCATGAATGTGATTCTGATGACAAACGTGCTGAATAGACCGTCCCTGGATTTTCTTCTCATTAGATGAACTGCTCACCCCGCTCACCTGAAATTGATCTGACACCTTAAACTCTGAGCTGAGGTCAGAGGTTAGTGACAGCCAATTATTCAGCCTAAGAGCCAGTGTTTGGTCAGTGTCTGAGCCCAGGTGATGGTCTGACCTTGCTGTCGTTCATCTTTGGAACTGCTGAGGGATGAAAGAGGAAGTTCGTAAAATCTTGAAAATATCCAACTTCCCATGAAATGCATCAAGTTTAATTCATTTAGATATTTTCTGCCTGACAACTCAACCTGTCTCACAGCTCAGCGGGCTTCTTTTTTTACAAAGGTAAACCATTGATTCTTAACTCTAACTGAATCATTCATTTCTCATATGTCCATTGTCTTTATATCCATGTCCTTTTGTGTTCATACATATAGTTACAGATGGAGAGAGCTGTAAAAGTGGATTGATACAGAACTCTAATCTGAACCTATATATAGGAAGTTCATTATAAATCAAAGTGTCAACAAAATAAAGAAAGGCTTACATAGAAGCAAGGTTTATAAGGTTTATATTGAAGCAAAAGTTAGGGTGGGACATGCTACAAAATATAAATTAACTGGTAAGGGTTGCATAATCAGATATATTTCAGTTATATCCAATAAGATAAAATACATTTATAGTACATAATGGTGTGACAAACAGCCAATACAAGTCAGACCTCACTGCAGGAAAAACCCTCAGTACCTTGGAAAACCATTTTCACAGTCTGTTTCCGTATCCAGAAGAAATGTATCTGAACCTGAATTATGGTCCTCTGTACAGGGTGTCATCTAAGATGAACTGAAACACACTGGACATATATTTAGGGGTCAGATAAGTCCAAGTTTTAGCGGTTAAAAGGCTGACGTGATTGTCCATCAAGGCTGTCGGTAGTATTAAGTGTATAAAGTTATCATTACCGGTATTATGGATGACATGCTAAAGTGCTATCTGTTTTGTTTTCGAAATCTGTTTCTCAGCAGGAATGGGCAAAGAAAAAAAAGTCATAACAATAGAAAAAAAAAACTTTTGCAAGTTGGGGTGCTCCTATTTTAATGCTTCTTGCAATGTTTCTTTGGCAGTTTGCTTATTTTATTTGATATATATTAATACATTTGTTTGAAAAACACTATTAGGACATTGATTTAGTAATTAAGGGTATTCAGAGTGGCCAAAACTAACAAATGCAATCAAACAAAACAAATGGGAACCCATACCCCGGGAAACAAATAAGCATAGGAAGCAGTGCATTCTGCAGGAAGGCCCCACCTGAATTTGACTGTTTCAGACTCTGTAGAGCTGAGACTCTGCCCTCTGACCTGCCCTCTTAGGGGCTGGGCTATCCTTGCCCCCCCCCTATGCAGCCCTATCACTTTACTGCACCCCAGGGAGCCACAACCCAACCTGGCCTGGGTGAGGATGGGGATGGGGGTGAGGGTGAGGGGTCAATGAATGGTGGACAGAGGAACCCCCGCCCCCAACGTCTGGACTTAATCATCCTGCCCATGACAAGCCTGCAAAAGCTTTCACACACACCACCATGACTGCATGCAAACAGATACACAGACCAACACCAGCACTTATCCACCAGTGAGGTCTCACACACATCAAAGGCCGGCAGGGCTAACTTGTTTGAGCAATAGGCATTCCATGGGGACATAGTGAAATGCTAAAAATCCAGGCTTTGAACATTTTTGTGTTGAGGCTTCTGAGAAGAGAGGTGGGGATGAGAATTTTGTTTTAGGTCTTAAGGCAGAAAGAGAAAAAGAGAGAGACAAAACACAATGTCAATGTCAAAGGGAAAGAGTATTGAAAGAAGCCAACATGACGTGAAAAAAAAACACATCAGGGATGTGAACGAGAGACCGTCTCTGATTTAAAACTCCCACAGGTCCTGTGAACAAGCTTGGAGGTCTTCATTCTGACTTTTATTTGTTTGGCCCAATCTCACATACAATGTCTCAGTGGGTTGCACAAGCCCACAACAGTTTCCATCCATGAGAAAGCTCCCAAAAAAGGCAATCTGGTGAGAGGAATAATTGTTGGTGTCCAACCATGACAAGAAATGCAGCCATCTGAATAAGACCATCATAAACACAAAAATCAATCATCACATTCATATTTTTCCAACAATATAATGCCATGACAAAAAACCATGACAAATATCTACAAACACAAATATCCAACAATCATTACCTGCCTGCTGACAATCCTGAAAATCCTACTTCTAGTGGACTGGTGGATATAAACAGACATCTTCACCTTTGCTGTAGTGCTATTAAAATAACTGAAGGGGCTACTGTTGGGTTGAAAACACTGAAAATAGAAACACAAGCGGGCAACTCAATATGCCATCGCCTCAAATTTGCTGAATAAATTGTAAAAATTAAAACTAAATAATATCAATTAATGGATACAAAAATTATTTTTAAATGATTAATCATTCCACAAACCTTAGAAAAAGTCAAAAGAACTAACTGCACATGCTGTAATGTTTTACAATGTAGATTTCTAATGGGGGCAGCAGATACCAATAAATATTGGCATAAGAAATTAGCATGTAATGGATGGCAGACTGAGAGCCCCCTTTACATATCATAGTGGGCCCAGGAAAAACAGCACATGTAGCATCATGTAAGGGCTAAACATAGAACCACCCAGAGTGCGCCACATGCCAGCACCAAGCTGTACCACCTGGTCAGCTCAATCTAGCCTTGTGGACCCCATCCACCCCCCTTCCTCTAGACACAGAATGCCTGTCAGAGTCTTGTCCATCAGCCTACAAACCAGTGGCCATCTCAGATCTGTGCATGCCACCTTTAAGTGGGCCATAGCTCAGATTCACGCGCACTGCCTTTAGAAGTCCCGGGCTCAGTTATGCATGTAAGAGGTCTTATTTCACATTCACACTTCTGCAGAATTCCAGTGTTCATGCCTGCAGAGGCTGTGCTCCTCATTCAGATATCCAGCACAGTGAGAACTGTCCACTCTGTTAGGTAATGGCCCATCTTTTGGGACCTCCAGTGGGCAAATTTCTATCCATATAAAATACCTTCCAACTGCTACAAAGAATAAATAAATCTGAGAGGTGCTCCAAATTTCTGTATGCGAATATTCCTACCTGCCGATGCTAATGCATACAGAAACAGCCTGGGCTGAAAGTTTTGTGTAAAAATATACCAAACACAAACGTTTTAACATGAGAAGTGCTTCACACCACCAAATGCGTGCGTAATAAATCATTGAGTTGTTAACTGACCTTTTTGAGACTTTTTTTTTCTGTTAATATTTTCCTGATTTGTCCCTCATTCAGAATCCACAATCATTCTTCAAAGGTTTGTGTTTTGTGTTTGCCAAGCCACAACCAATGAATCACTGAAGCATAAAACATTTAACCCAGGCTATGAACCAGTGTTGTAATAGACAACTTTCTGAAATAATATCTTAGAATATTTTGGAACTGGGCTTGACACAGGACCTGGTAGATACGTGGAATGTCCTTCAAGAAGCTTGAAGATCTATAACAATAGACATACTAAAGACTTCTGTTCAGAACAATAAATCCATCAATAGTTTATGGAGAGTTGGTTTAAAAAAAAAACAGCACCACGTATGCTGTACATTACCCAGGGTACCAAATACATTGCACTAGCAAAATACGAATACAAATAATTGTATGCCTCAGCATTAAATTTACACCAATTTCTGTTCTAAAAACGTTGAAGTTAGGTGTCATAAAACTACAATCCAAATACATCCGAAACTATCTGTACAGCTTCAAAAACACATTTTACAGCAACAATTTCTGAGTAGAAAGGTAATGTGGATAAATGTATCACTCTGAGTCAATGTGTGGAAAATGACAAAATCAAAACCCCTCCCGTTATAGACACAAAGACAAACAACCTGATGGCGCTTTGCGGACACAAACATAGGACACAATATTAAGAGCAGAAAACCCGCCTCTCCTACCCTGGAAAGCAGCAGAAACCTGGACCAGGACAAAGTAGATCAGTCCAATATGGAGCCATGGCCAAAAGAAAAAAAACAAAAAAAACAAAACAAAAAATATTAAGAAATGTTTTCCAACAGCTGATAAGCATTAAACTGAACCACACCCACTCGTAAATTTAAAAAAAGCACTTTCCAACGGTTTAAAATCTGCACTACATCCAAGGAAAACACTGCATGTCGAATTTACGTCTTTTGCAACCCCTGACACATTTCTATTGTGCTTTGCCAAAATCCCCACTGACCTTAGATCTGCTTTTAGGGCTTTTTCTCACTAAGATAACTGCTACCTCTAGTCAATTCGGGCCAGTTGTGAAATCACTAGATAAGAGCCACATGTTTGCTGCTGCATGTCAGTTTAAAAAGGGATTTTTTGTGTCTATGTGGTGACGGAGAGGGCCATAAACAAGAGAGGGAGCGGCTGATGCATTACCTCACTGCCAGCCAGCCTCCATCTCTGAGAACACAGGAAGACAGCTCCTTCACCTCAATACTTTTACCAAAGAGTGAGAATGAGACATAGGATGGATGACAGTCTCAATGTTGTAATGTCCTTTTTCTTTATTATTACAGCACAATTCCATTCAATTCAATTTTATTTATATAGCGCCACATCACAACAACAGTTGTCTCACAGCGCTTTCCAAACAGAGCAGGTCAGACCCTACTCTGACGTTAATTACAGAAACCCAACAATTCCCACCATGAGCAAGCACTAGGCGACACAGGCAAGGAAAAACTTCCTTTTAACAGGCAGAAACCTCGAGCAGAAACCTCGAGCAGAACCATGGCTCAGGGTGGGCGGCCATCTGCCTCGGCCGGTTGGGGGTGAGGGAAAGAGAGGGCAAGAGAGAGAGGGCGAGAGAAGGACAGAGGGAGCAGAGAGAGGCAGCCCACACAGCAACACATAGACTAGATGAAAAACAGTGCGTGATGGGGACAAAATTACCTATTTGGCGACAACTACAGCCTCCCCTCTGTCTATCATTATCAGTGCACTGTAGGGAGCAGGCTGTAGTGATTAGTCATAGCCTCTGAACTGGACCACTTCATTTACCACACCACTTGATGCAATTGTTAGTGGAGTGGAGACATAACCCATCTGTTCGGACTGTGGCATATAACAACTCTTTTCCTTCCCTTTGCCTCTCACAGACTGTTGTCGGTGACACTGTTGGAAAGTGAGAGGATATGGGGTCCACATTTGCCAAACCCCAGAACTGCAATGACTAATTTGAAGTCAAGAAAATTCAGCTGAAGAGATGACACGTTGAGGCATAAACACAGAGTAGACATAGTAGTATGAATTGGTATAATGGTGTTCAAATCAAACTGCATAAACAGGGTTGTAGGGGCTTTATGATGTCTGAGTGCCGAGAGCTTTAGAGTTGACTCAACAATGAATTAGTGTTCCTTTCATTCCTATATTCATTTAGCCTTCTAACCAACCTTTTTATCAAGACTTTACAAGTTCGACATCCTCTGATACAATCAGTGTGAACCAGTTGTAATGCTGAGGCTAGCTGGATAGCATTGTGATTTATGCTACATTTGTTGTAGGCCGGGCCAATAACTTTTAAACCGAAATGTCAATAAATCATAAGAAATGTTAGCCCGATTCTTTACACAGCCTTCACAGCCAGAAATTTTAACACAAAAGTATAGTTCTGAAAGGAATAAGACAATCAGTTATTTACATGGATTATGTCATAGCATATAATGCTAAAATGAGTAATAAAATATCCCAATTCTAACAAAAATGTTACACTCAACGGGACTATTGTCTGATCCCTGGAGGAAATGTGAAAATTCTGAGAGTGTATTTACATTATCACTGACAGCACCGTCCTTTCTAATCATTTACCCATTTACAAAAATCTGATTTGTAATAATACTGAGCAAGATTGCCAAAATGCTTGAATAGTGCCCAGAATGTCAGCACTTCCTGAGAAAGAATCAAGTAGGTTTCAGAGGCAAAAAGGGAAAGACACAAAAAAAAAAGAGAGAAATGAAATGAAAGGAGAAAATTGAAAATGAAAGATTCAAAAGAATTGAGAGCTCTAATGAGGACATGAAACACAATGTCCTAGGATAGAGCTGGATAAATATACTCCCCTTCGCTGAATGATAGGCATTCTCATCTCTCATCTACCCCCTGGGGAGACGGAGGGCTGAGCAGGGATGGACCTGCCTTCTTAACCCTTTCTCTCTGCTCATTTTACACAAACCATCCCTGTCTTGATCTCTCCAAGCGCTCGCCTTTCACTCCAGCTCAGAGCTGCCATCTTGACCCTGCATCTCTAATCTTTTTAATACAACCCCTAACTCTCCATCTCTGTCTGCATCCATCTGCCCTCTCACTGCTATTAGCAGCTCACCCTCTCAATCCCTACATTGCGTCTGAGCACTATTACAGCCTTGTGGAAAGAGCACTGTCCTCATGTGCGCCATCGTTTGTGTCCATAACCATTAGCATCGCTGTAAAAAGATACAAAAACCTATACAGTGTGTTCAAATAATAGATTGCAGGCACATAGATGGACTGAATAGCTGCTCACCAGCACAAGTAGATGCTGTCAATACTTTTTATGACTTTAAGTTCTTTGGCCTCCAGTGCACCTCCTTCCTGCCTTTCAGCAGTTGAAACCAGTGGAGGAGGGAAGATTAGCTGTGGGAGAGACCATCCGGTTATCAAAACAACCACAGGTTTGATTTCCTCACCAATTAACAGAGCTCTGAGAAAGGTTTTTGAGCTCAATCAATTTAGCTGCTATTTGACCAGGGAGGATTAGCAACTCAATAACCTGATATCCGGTTTCATAACAGCCACAACCATGGCCTGAAATGTTGTAAATGTTTTCCTTTGTCCCTTACTGATCTACTACTAACCATGATATTAGAAAAAGTGTGTGAAATGTGGACTCCCCTAAATGTGATGAGGAAAAATCTAATAATATTACCATGGAAATTATTTTACGTTGATCATATACTCAAGAAAAATAAAAGAATTTTATGAATTTCAGTCAATATTTATGAATAATATAAAAAAGATAAAGAAGATGAAATTGTCCAACTTGGGAATTTTTTCATGTAGTCATAAGCCCTCAAAACATCCCATAGCTTTTTGGAGGAATTTTTCTAGAGCTCAAAGGAAGCTGGACATGATTCGGTACATCAAGGATATTTATGTATTTTCTTAAGCATGTCCAAGAGATTCCAAGGTGAACATATTCTTGTTGATATCAATACCAAAAGCTGTTGAATGTATCCACAATTAGAGTCAAAAGCAAGATAGATATCACTAAATATTGTTGTGAAACAGCAAAATCCTTTTACAACATTGAGACAATATTTCACCAGGCAATTTTCTGTACTTTTTTTAAGCAGGGTGCTTCTAGAAAAATATAGTCCAGAAAAAATACCATAGATATTTGCAATCTGATATACTTTTAGTATCTCCAAAATGTTCTTGCATGTGAAGTGTTTAGTGCTACAGATTCCAATCACAGAGAAAACCTTTCTGAAAAGTTAAGGATTTTAAAATAAATCTTCCAAATTCTTTGTTTCGACACGTTGTTAATTCTTATGAATGCCATAATTGACGAATGACATTTGGTATCCTTGATATGAACCACAACTTCGGTTGTGGAAGCATTTGAGTGTTTTCAACCTACATTCTGAGTTCTGTGTGATATTTGCCATGTGTGACTGCTGATATTCTGAAGTAAAGAAACCAATAACACAAATCTGTGTCAAACAGTCAGAGTGGTATAGTTTAAAATCACTCAAAGCAGCATCAGTCAACATGCGCAAACATGCGCACATACACCGTACACAGTCAGCGCTCACCACTTTAACACATACACACACAGAACACTTCTCGTGTTCAACACTTCTCAGATAGTGTTTACCCTCTGATCAACAGCCAATTAGTAGAGGAAGGTAGGGAGGCTTTCAGCAGTTCGTCACACAAGGAAGCATTTAGACATATTTTTTATTACTCTGCACAATTCTGTTTAGTTTAGGTAAATTGAAATCAAAACAAAAACATAACTTACAGTATAAATCAATACTGTTGTGCCTTTTATCCACACAGACTTGACTATTTAACACTCTGGACTCTGTTAGTGCTATCATCGCTCAGACCTGCTTTTTCTCCTCTTTTTAAAACATTTGTTAAACTCTTTGATGAAAACCATCATACAAACACAGTTTGTGACCATATTAACCCTCTAAGGGGCCTGGGGTAAAATTGTCTGTGTGTAGCTAGCTACTAACCCCCATGTTTCTCCCTCACTTTATGTAATGGTTATTTTGTGAGTAAAGCATGAGTTGAACATTCCTTGAAATGTGGCACCATATCTTCTCTTTCTTTTTCAGAAGTCCTCTGTATCCAAATGATAAAATAGGAAATTAAAGGACATTGGGAAAAAAATACCTAATCGCTCTCTTTCCCCCTTGCTCCTAGAGCAAGGCAGTATAAGGAACTTTCAAACTGTCAAACATTCTTTTGGTTGAGTGAAAATTCAAATGGCCAATTTGTTGAGTAATTGACAAATTAGCAACTCTTCAGATTTATACTATTTGAATAATATATCCATTAAATCACAAAAGGGAACATTTAGTCTTTAAGGTTTACACATTTGGTGTCAAAAACTGCTGGATGAGTTCATCCATGTGGGAAGGCTTTGAGTGGAGATATCATTTTGCACATTCATTCTGTCTCACTGCAGAGTCAGGTCATCATCAAAGTTTAAATGAGGTCTCAGTTTAACACCTACAGGTCACAAAGTGCACCTCCCGTCTGTCATTAGACACTAGCTGGGCATTAACCCAGGAGGTAACCCAGCAGGCAGTTAATCTGCCTAAACAAAGCCTGTTTACTTCTCTGACAGGCTGAGCGATCATCATTCAGGTAATGCAACTGCTCAAACCTAAATGCTGTTCACACAGGTGGCTTTAGTGAACATATGTGTTTGAGTAGGTGTGTGTCTGTGTGAAGACTAAGCTCAAGTAAACACTTTTGATAAACTGTCTCTCCTCAGTTCATGTGGGAGTTAGAAATAAATTAAATCACACTTATAAAGGAGAATGTTGATATATTTTGGAAAAATCACAAGTCACCTCTCAAGTAATGTCTTCCTCAGATTTGAATACTTTTGTCATGATTTTTTCTTTGTTTTACTTAAGATAGATAGTCATTTCTATGGAGTGTTGGAAAAAAGAGAGCCATTCTCTTATTCTCAGCTCAAACCAGGAGGCAGAAACAAACGCACATAATGTCTGTTGCATTCCAGTGTGCCTTCTGGCTCTCATCCCACCACACTTGTCAATGGGCAGCGCAGGGCCCTGGAGTGTGTAATGACTGCCCTGAAGAAGCTTTCAGTGCCCTCTTAACATACAGATTATGTCAGGTGACAAGACCCGGAGCTGCAGGGTGCAGAAGGATGCTGTTGGTTGCTGCAGCCACAGGAATCAAGAGCTTGTTTTTTGCTAAATGAGACACCAGCCTTAAGGTGGAATAAACTACTTAACTCAACTTAATTGAGCAACAAAGTCTAATTTCTTATAGATTTCATTAAATCACTGCTGATTTTCATATTAAAGACACTTAATTATGACTTTAAAAAGTTGCAATGAAATTGAAAGAACACATATTCAGTGTTTACTGACAGAAATACAGACAGTGTTCAGCTGCTGCAGTGGCAGGAGTGTTTTTGTTTGAAGAATTGGGGTCCTTAACTGCTCTTTTCAGCTCAACAGCACATGTGAAGCATGTTTCAGATGGACAGGATACAAGGATAATGCAAATGGCCTTTCTGACCTTTCTCACCTATCGGAATGTATCATTACAGCTTATTGTTCAGTTGACTGTAATGTTGTATCTGCATTGTGAGTTGCTTTGCATAAAAGTGTCTGCTAAATTCCTAAACATTACATAAAGATCAGACTTTATCTCTCTTTTTCCTGACCAAACTCAATTGGTCACTCAAAAAGTTTCCTTTCAGTGTCTCTCATCTGTGAGACTGTATTTAGGTGTTAATAGGGAACATGATTCATTGTAACAGATTAACAACTCAGAATTGGTAGAAATCTCTCATGAAATGTGCCAGATAATAGAAGAAAATGCATCTCGTCAGGGTCATATTTTCCCGAATCTTTACATGATAAATAAAAGCTGGGAATTTTGGACTTCTATAAATAACTTCAGAGTAAGATTTGACCTGCTCTTTTTGAAAAGCGCTGTGAGATAACTGTTGTTGTGATTTTGCGCTATATAAATCAAATTGAATTTAACTTGTTTTGTTCCACATGAACTACCTAAACAAGATATGATCATCAGCACTTTAGAAAGAATGTAAAGTAGCTTATTCTGCAAGGCAAAATGTACTTTCACAGTAAAAGTAGGCTTTACATTTTGAAACAACTATATCTATTTATCTGTTCTCTAAAAAGCTACAGCTCAAATTTTGTGTGATGATTTTATATCCTTATTATTCCTATTCCTTAGATGGTTTTAGCAGCACTACCAAGGTAGAAGCCAAGGAAGACTGGTGGGGGATGAGGGACCCTACTCAAGTGGTCCAAACCACTCTCTCACTCTCACTTGGCTTCCTATCACTCTGGAGAAGAATACAACAGGAGATGATAGGCAAGGGAAAATACATTGGTGACTTTTGGTGCTTAATGTGTACAAACACCTGTCAGCTATTGTCAGCAACAGGATTTATACATTCTGTAATATGAAAGGAGGGGGTACACGGTTAGATTATATTTGGCATTTATATGTAGCCATAAATGTCTAGACACCTCTGTATGTTATGATATATTTAGTCATGTGACCATATTAAATCCTGGAATCTATTTACATTTTATTACATACTTCAGTATAAACTGTCATCATTAAGCCCCTATGACAACACATTCCTTCCCTATATAGTGGTTCATGACGGCAGATTGATGTTTTTAAATGGTGAAATATCAGCATGCATTTATTAGTCTGAAGTGTGACCAAAGAAAAGATTATACATATAATCATGGTCAATTCATTTTTGACAGTTGCAAAAAACTTTCTCTGGCATTGTCTTACCCTGTAAATGTTTTCAAAAAGAGGAATTTCCCCCCAGTTTGGCATACATATTCACCTCTGAGCTTTTTGTCTGTGCATTGATGATCTGATGCCAGAGATGAGAAACTCATACACGCTCGTCTTGGCTGGTATGTTTCTCCTTAACACTGCTGTGTAGCTCATACATGAATGCACAGGAAGGCATGCCCACTTACCCCAACACATTTACATGCGCATACACATCGAGTTTGCAAGCTGCAAGGGAGGCTTTATGCAGCAGAACCGGTCACTGTGTGCCTCACCCAATATTTAACACAATTATTTGATTCTGACATAGACATCCCAGGCAGTTGTGCTCAATCACTCACTAACAAACAATCATGGGCTTTGCAAGCTTTGCCCCTGGGTTTTTCATTATTACTAAAGCACACACTGTCTGACTATAAATTGATAACAGCATCAGAGGGTGGCCCAGCCGTCAGCCTTACCATAAATGACTTGTCACAGTTTCGGTGCCAGCAATGGCCAGTGTGCACATCTGTGAACAGGTTAAGTGGTCGGCGATGACAGTAAACACTGAACAATAACAGGATATTACAGTTGATGAGTTTTCAAATG